CACAAAGTTTTGCCATTCGAGTGCATCTACTCAAATTTTACATTTTTTGACCCGGCGAGGCCCGTTCGGGGCACTTTTTGAGATTTCTATAAAAGGGGGGTGAGATATTTCATTTTTCATCTTCTCCCCTCTTCATGCACAACCTGGAGCTCCCATGGCAGCCCAAGGGGTGCTGCCATCTTCTCTCTCCTCTTTTGGTTCACTTTTCCATGATGGAAAGTCTTCGGCCTTAACGTTTATTGTTCCCCTCGCCGTGCTCTACCTTTCCCCCATATTAGAATTCAGTTTTGACTATTTCTTGAGTTTGGTTTTGAGTTCAAGTTATGATTTTGATGGGGCTTTCATGTGGGTTATGTTCACGGCGTTGTCCTCGACAAAACCTAGTAGTTTCGTCGGATTCGGAGCCGTTCCATTTTGATGGCAATTGAGATTTTCATCTCAAATTGAGGTAGGGGATGTTTTAGGTTTAAATTCTTGTTATATAGCATGCTTGTGATGCTTATACTACTTGTTTGCATGATTAAATATAAAATCTAGAGATTTTATTATTTATTTTTCTTGTACGGGATCTAATTTTCCCGGTTGCTCATGACTTGGTTTAAACATGTAGCATGATTTTATATTGCCCCTTGATATGCTCATTGTCATGTATTAAAATTGGAACATTTGAATAAGTATTAAAGATTTTATTTAATATTTATCTTAGGTGAAAGATTAATTCACATGGCCTTAACTAGCTTAAAATCAATATGTGTTAGCATATTAAATTAGGCCTTAATATGCTCTCCAACATAGTTGAATTTGAAAGTACTTGGAGGTGTTTTGAAAATTAGTAATTATTAATTAATTTGATTAATTAATTTGCCCCAAGTGCACTATTCACTCTATTTAAATTCCGACTTGATATTCTTGATTTACCTGCCATATAACTTCACATATATTTGATTTAGAATATTTGGTTAGGTTTTGAAACCTTTTATTTAATTAAATTTCATGTTTAAGATTTAATCCTCCTGGTGATATACAACTTGGAATTGTATTGTGGCATGCTAGACAATTAAGTTTTGGTATGGTTGTTCACATGTATTAAATTGGGATTTATTGCATGAGAATTGCAACTTTTGTTTTCTATTTAACTTTAGTGAAAGTTTAATTCACATGGTCTTAAATTGAATGAAATAAGCTTCTAATGTGATATTACATTAGTCCTTGGCATGTTCTCTAAGATATGTTAAATTGAGAGCATTTGGTTAAGTTTGAAAATCTAGAGATTTTAATTAAAAGAATTAATTAAAATCTATTTTGTGGTCCCATTAGCTTAATTAAGATTTTAACTTGATATTTGTATTGGCCATGACTTGTTTACTAGTATATATTAATTGTGGACCATTTGAAGTTGCTTTAGAACCTTGGTTATTAAATTAGCATGACTTCATTAAAGTTCTACCTTATTGCTCTAACAACCTCATTGAGTTTTAGAATGGATATAGGTGATGACCATGCCATGTCCTTTAACATGTATTAAATTGAGGTTATTTGAAATTAGATCAGAATCTAGAGAATTTAATTGTGTTTATCTATTTAAATTCTATCAATTTGCTCCATGATTTAGTTGTGTTTTAGAAGTGGTTTCTATATTCAAATCATGGACTTGGACTTGTTGTATATTCATTTTGTTATGTTTTGAACATTGGATAACATAGTTACTATGTTTGTATTCATGAAAATATGTTTTCCTTATTGAATATTTTTGTTGCCTTATGTAATGATTTGCACACTTCGTGTTTAACATCTTTCATGCATAGCGTGTAATGAATCGCACACTGAATATTCGACATTCATCATATCATATTAGTTGTGGATTTAGAGCATGTATTGTATAGGTTTCCAAATTTGGTTGTGCGTAGTAGATAGTTGATTATCTTGCATATTCCTGTTGATATATGCGTTGTTGAACAACTTGTTGCTTTTGGAAACTTGGGGATGTCGTTGTTTGACTATGGCTAGGACGTGGTTCTAGTACGGGGGATAGTCCCTCTATATATAGTCTAGTGCGCGCATAGGGAGGTTACCCATGGGCTAGTAACCCTAAAGTAACTATGTTGTCGGTCTGATCCGGCGTGACGTCCGAGTATCCACTTTGTTTGATTTCGCATTTCATTTTCAAGTTGATAACTAGATGATGTTGTAACTTGTTGTTTCTTATTTGTCATTCCATTTTAAGTTATAGGATGTTAACTTTGCGAAATTGTGCTTTATGCGTTGTATTGGAAGTTCCAATGTTGGTAAAATTGCAACGATACTGAAAATCGTGTTTTGACGTTCTAATAATGCTTAGGATTAATCCTATTGATTCATTTATAACATAGACGTCAGGTGGCACGAACCACTACTGTTATTTTGCGCTTTAGATTCTAAGTTGATGGCTTTGAGAACTTAAACCTTGTTGCATTGTATAACATGCTCTTTTGTTGTTGAATTGCATGGATAATGTGATTCTTGTTAACTTATATTCAAATATGCTTTTGTTATGTTGTATGGATTACTCTAGACCTAGTTCAATTGTATTGAAAATACAATTCATGTTAATATATGCTCAAGCATTCTTCTTGTCGTGTTCTTTAGATTATCCCAACCATGATTCGTTTCATACACGTATGTATGTCATGATTCGTATTGCTCAGACTCTAAGGTAGCTTAGGATGATCCCCGAGTCTCACTTGGACATAGACGTTAGGTGGCATGAGCCCCTTTAACATGTTTCACCTTAAGGTGATAAATTTGTAAAATGCTAGGTTGATGCATGCTCATCTCCTATGAGTAGCTTTATGTTACTCACCCCTACGATACTGGGGCATATTTCAGGTACGAAGACTTGGTTCGTGAAGCCTACCATTCCTTGGATGTCAAGTAGCTTTCAAGTTTCCATTTCATGCAAATGTTAGCATGAAATGTCATTTTGTAGACTTGTATGTCAAAATATGAATGTTTGATTCCATGTATGTAATGTGTACTTAAGTACACTCCTTTCAATGTATTTGATATGTATGAGATGAGGCCGGAGGCCAATGACATGTATATTGTATTCTATGCAACTTTTTAACTTCATGAAATGTTATGAAAAACTTGAAAAATCGCAAGTCATTGCTTCACCACGGTTGCATCGGGTGTGGGAATTCCATTTTCATTCTTTTATAGGGTCTTATTAATCTTGTATGAAGTGTGGCCATGGGCCAAATAGTCATTTGATCCCGTTTTGCATTTTTGGATTCCATGTTTTCCATTCCAAGTCCATTTTTGCCTTTTTGCCTGTTGAGGGGTCGGATTTTGCATCGGCTATATTTTTAAGCCATGGACTATTGTAGCGTGTCTAAATAGGTAAGTTACGTTTGTGTGCATAGTCGTTTCTGGGCAAAACCTCATCGTTTGTGTTTTGAGCCTCTTGTGAATTCATTTCGCATTTTTTTTGCATATTCTGATCTAGGGGCATTACGGACCTTTCACCTCAATTTTGTTTTCTTCTATCAATATGGTCGCTTAGAAAATGTGATTTTAGGGGGGGTTTCTTTTTTGTGTTTTTTCAGAAAATGTCGTCTTGGTGCCGGAAATCGATTGCAAAGTTTAGTTTTTCTGTTTTTTTTTAGCAGCTTTTTGGACCTCCATGACCAGATTTCATGGAGGGGCATTTCGGGCATTCTACATTGCATTTTTTTTGAATTCTCTTATGTACCACGTAGAAAATTCAATTTTGAGGGGGGTTTCTTCTTTGTGTTTTTCCAGAAAAATTCATCGACTTGCCCATTTTTACTGTTTGTTCTGGCTATTTCTGGAAAAAATGCTTGTAGCAGCTTTTTGGGTCCATCTTGACCTAGGCCGTTCAAGGGGCATTTTAGGGACTTTACATCTTATTTTTTTTGGTTTCTTCTGCACAGTTGGGTAGAAAACGTAATTTTAAGGGGGTTTCTTCTTCGTGTTTTTCCATAAAAACTCGTTTAAGGGTCCGTTTTTAGCCTCGGTTCTGGAAAAAAATTTAATTGGAGCTTTCTGTCAAAACACTATTCCTGCCCAGATATTTGAACCCGGAAAATAAGTCTAATTTTTTGAAACTTTGAGACTTCATATCTTCTTTGTCTCGACTCCAAATCAAGTGATTTTTGAGTCTAAATTTATTAGTTTTTACTTATCTATCCAACGGTATTCACGGTTGCATCTAATTCTATCTAAAAAGACTATTTTACCCCTTATAAAGTACCCTTGCCGCACTGATTTTAAACCCAAAAGTTGGTTTTTATGAAACTTTGACGTGTCATATCTTCTTCGTCCGGACTCCGAATCAAGTGATTCTTGAGTCTAGATTCATTAAATTTTCCCAGTCTATCTAACGGTATGCTCAGTTGCATCCAATTTTGTCTGAAAAGACCTTTTTACCCCTTGCGAAGTACCCTTGCTGCATTGATTTCAAACCCAGAAATGTGATTTTTATGAAACTTTGGAGTTTCATATTTTCCTCATCCGGACTCCGAATCAAGTGATTCTTGAGTCCATCTTGATTAGTTTTTCATTGTCCTTCTAGTGGTGTGCTCGGTGGCACCCGAGTCCATAGTTTTCAGAAATGACTATTTTGCCCCTGGGGGCTTATTTGTCATATTTTTGGTCTTTTACTTCCGCGTCAGTTCTCATTGAGTTCCATGACCTCATGGAAGGTCATTTTGACTTCTTAGAGTCTTGTTTTCTATTTTTGCTTCTGCATATCGGATCCGTTATCGGGTCAATCTTCGGTTCATCACAGGACACGCTGGCCTAAAAACCAGGGTCATCACATCTGCGTTTTGAGATAAGAAATTAACTAACTCCTACTTATCCTCCTTAACGAGTCATTCCCCCACTCTGGTTGTTCATTCCGGACAGAACTGATCGATCTGCACATCAACTAGGGGTTCTTTAGTCAAGTCCTCTGGCTCCTCCTCCCCATTCTGCTTGGAGGGAGGCTCCTGTAATTGCTATCTCGGACTTGCTGAATGAATAGGAGCTTTCCCTTTTCCGGCATGTTTTAGTGTTACTGAATAACATTCTTTAGATGCAACCTGGTCCCTATGAATGTCAATCACTTTGGTCCCGTCTGGCCCTAGGCATCTCATTACCTGATGCAGAGTGGAAGGAACACCTTGAACTCTATGGATCCACCCTCTACCCATCAGAAGATTATAAGAGGGATGAATTTCAATAACCACAAAGGTTTCCATCAGAACCCTCTCGGCAGCATGTACCGCTACCTCCACCGTACCGACGGGCTCTACTCGTTTTCCATCAAACCCTAGTAGAGGATTCCCGGTGGATTTTAGCCGATCCTGCTTAATCTCGAGCCAATCAAATGTATCCCTTGGCATGATGTTCGCACTACTTCCAGGATCAATCAGAACTCTGCGCACCAAGCATTTAGCCACTATCAAACTTACGACCAACGGATCCTTATGAGGGATCTGAACACGCAATAGATCTGTTCCGTCAAACTTTATATGCGCTGATGCACTCTATTGGTGCAGAGTGTTTACACTGCCTATCCTTCTCTTCATCTGTGCCTGGCGAAGGCGTGTTCGAAGCAGTTCATCTGACTCTTCAGCAGGCTCAGGCCGACCATGAATTGCATTGATTATTCGAACTGGTTGCGTGTTGTGAGAATTCGACTTCTGATTCCTCTTCACGTACTCCATTGGTCGATTCTGTTCCACCGCTGGGCCTTAAATATAACTTGCGAACTCCCCTCTGGCTATCAGTGTCTCTACCTGTCTCCTTAGGTTCCTGCATTCGTTAGTCTGATGGCCAAAGTCAGAATGAAATGCACAGTGCTTAGACTGATCCCTCTGTTCGAGGGGTTGTCTGATTGGTAAAGGAGGTCGAAACTTATCTTTATTTTCTTGGTACAGTCTTGCTAAGGTAACTTTCAATGGAGTAACTAGCTCTTCCTCTCTGGGCCTCTTCTCAGATTTCCACGAGGAGCGCTGTGGCTGAACCTACTTTTGTCTGATCTTTGCTTTGGTCTTTTCTTCCGTGGATATGACGGATGTCTTCCGAGCGTTTGCCGCCTCTTCTTCTTCCAAGCGCACAAATCCATCAGCTCTTTCATTAAGTTCATCCATAGTTTTCGGAGTGTTCACCACCAAGCTTGTGTGGAATGGGGTGCCACAAGTCATGGCCAGTATAAATGCTTAAACTGCCATTGAAGGGTGACATTCAATCACCATGCTCTTGGTAAGGTTAAACCTAGTTAGGAAAGCCTGGAGACGCTCATCAGCATGTTGCTTCATTGTGAATAGGCTCAAAATGTCCTTCGCTGGACGCTTATTTCCATAATATTGGCTTATGAACCAATCACATAAGCTTCGAAAACTATCCACTGAGCCCCTCGGCAGGTTCTTGAACCAATTTAGAGCTGGTCCAACTAGATTCGTAGGAAAGCACTTGCACATCAAAGAGTCATTCTCAGTGTTCAGAGCCATTTTCAACTGGATGTGATACACATGATCGATTGGATCAGTCATTCTGTCGAATGGAATGAAAACGGGCATGGAAAATTTCCTCGGACTCGGAGCATTCAGAATCTCATCAGTGACCAGTGAATTAACCGTTCGAGCTGCTGAATGGAGTGCTTCATTTTCCCTCTGGAACCCCGCGGTTGCTCTCTGGTCTACAGATCTCCTCTCTGAGCCGTGATAGTCGAACGTCGTCATGGAAGGCCGATAAGTCGGATCGAATGATCTGTCCTCAACAAAGTCTCTGCGCCATGGAAGCATAGCTTTATGATGATCCAACTCTATTGCTTCATCTCGGCTGAGTGTTTCTTGATGTGGATCAAAAGTCATTGCTTCGTTTTGCCTGATCTGCTCATGCCGGGGATCCACGTGAGTCGATCCTTCACGATCATCAATACGACGAAGATTTGGCGACAAACCGTCTGGTCGGATTTCCTCGCTGTGAGGATCTATCAGATTGTTTCCGACCTCCTCGCCGTGATGTGCCGCATCGGTACATGCACCTTCTTCTCCTACCGGGAGCGGTCGCTGATTTACTGGAGCTTCTTGACGCTGCATTTCAGTCCTTAGATCTGCATTTTCTCTTCGGAGAGCTTCGATCATGCTCATCAACTCATCAAGTTTCACCTGCTAGACGTTCTCTATCGTATTGGAGTTCTCACCCCCTATCATGATTCCGGATCGAAGCAAAGGCATGAATTACGAACTCCGAAATAGATCTGAGCGTCACTGATGCAAATTCTATTAGATCTGGGCTCAACTTCACCGAATCGTGGTCACCGTTTGCTAGATCTGAACTTTTCTAGCTTTGAACTCACCGGATCTGACTGCAATTGAACAAATCACAATTATGTCATTCTAAAGCAAATGCCTCAGAATCCACAATAAGAAAGAATTCTCTCTGAACAAACTACAATCTCACTGATCTGGATTCAACTTCTAGAAATCAAACTGTGTGCTCACAAACTTAATTGAACTAACATGATACTGATCAGTCTCGAATCGATCTTCTTCGTCGTTCCCACAGATGGCACCAATTGAAGATGTAAGAAATTCTTTCTCCTTTCTCTCTCTAGAATTCTTACACTTCAATAGAAAAAATCCCCCTTCTTATCCACCCGTAATGGTCCATTTATAGACCATTACAAATATTGTCACTAACTGATTACATTGGGCCTCTATTCAAGGGTTTTCTTCCTTTTGGGCCTGACTTTCCAATGGGCTTAAACTTCCTCAGTGGATCCTCCAAGCTCGGCCCATTCCGTGGTGCTTTTGCATGGGCCATACTTCAATTGTTCAACCCGATCCCATGCCAGCGAGCTATAACCAGCCCATGCCACTTACTGCATCCTCAGTCTTCCTTCTATTATCTCTAAAGAACCTCTAGAGACATGCCTTTTTGAAATGTATAAAAATTGTGATTTTGACCTTGAAAGCTTCAAAATGAAATAAACTCTCTAATGGACTCCTTAGCTAACTTGGAAGGTAAAGAGATGGTGATTTTTAGATGGAGATGGTAAAGGTTATGTTCTCTAATGGAACGTGATGAATAGGGGTGTGTATTGATGCATAAGGGTGGAGTAGCGACTTATAGGTTTCGACAGTTGAAGACTCACGAGCATAACTACCTTACTCATGACTTGGAGTTAATGAGAGTTGTGTTTGCTTTGAAGCATTGGAGACACTATTTGTATGGTGAGAGATTTGAGGTGTTTTTGGATCACAAGAGCCTCAAGTACCTTTTCTCCCAAAAAGACTTAAATAATAGGCAGAGGCGATAGGTTAAGTTTTTAGAGGATTATAATTTTGACTTGCAGTATCTTTCGGGCAAGGAAAATGCTGTAGTTGATGCCTTTAGCCATAAATCTTGTGGGACTTTTGCTAGTTTAGCCATTCAAAAATGGAAGATGCTTAAAGACTTGGCCCAGATGGGATTAAATTGTCTTTATGATGATGATGGAAGTGAGTTAGTATTCTTATTTAATCTTGTGGCTCAGCCTATCCTTGTCGAAAGAGTGATTAAGTAACGAAGATAGGATCCAAATTTGGACGCCATTCACACTTTGATCTCTAGTAGTAAGACAGTGAAGGATTGGACCATACATATAGATAGAGGTCTACGATTCATGGGTTTGATGGTTTTTCCCACAGGTTGTCATGAGGACGTTTTAGAGGAGTTTCACACATCACATTTTGTAGTTCATCTAGGTCGTACTAAGATGTATCACAATTTGAGACATCAGTATTGGTGGAGTGGGATGAAGAAGGATGTAGCATAGTTTGTGGCTAGATGCCTCAACTATCAGCAGGTGAAGGTTGAGCACCAGAGGCCAACTGGGTTATTGCAGCCAAAACTGATAGCACTATGAAAATGAGAGCATATTGCTATGGATTTTGTGACAGGCCTTCCTAGGTCACGGAGAGCGAATAAGGCTGTATGGGTCATTATTGATAGATTGACCAAGACGGCTCACATTGCACTTTAGTACGACATTCTATTCATAGACGGATGGCCAGTCGGAGCGTACCATCCAGATTTTGGAGAATATTCTTTGGGCATGTGTACTTGACTTAAGTGGTAGTTGGGACAATTACCTACCACTTATTAAGTTTGCCTACAATAACAGTTATCATGCGAGTATTTAGATGGCTCCATTTGAGGCATTGTATTGTACACCTTATAGGTCTCCTGTTTATTGAACTAAGGTGGGCGAGACAGCCGCCTTAGGACCCCACATTATACTCTAGACTACCGAGAAGATTAAGTTGATTAGACAGAGGTTGCTTACGGCTTAGAGCAAATAGGAGAGTTATGCAGATAGACGGAGACGGTCGTTATCCTTTGAGGAGTGAGACCACGTCTTTCTTCGGGTTTCTCCATAGAAGGGGTTGATGATATTTGGGAAGAGTGGCAAGTTATCGCTATGATTCATTAGACCTTTTGAGATCTTGGACCGTGTAAAGATGTTATCTACAGCTTACGCGCATTGCCACCGCAGATGGATAGAGTCCATAATGTTTTTCACGTATTGATGCTACAGAAGCATGAGCCAGTTCCATCTCACGTTTTGAGTTAGGTTAAGGTTGACATTGATGAGGATGTTTCTTACGAGCAGGAACCAGTTTAGATCCTTGACATACGGCAGAAGGTGTTGAGGAACAAGACGATACTGTTGGTAAAGGTTCAATGGAGCACGGAGTTGTGGAGGCTACTTAGGAGCTTGAACAAGAAGTTTGTTCCAAGTATCCAGGGTTGTTCTCTGCCCCAGATATGGCTTGACTTCGGGGATTAAATCTTTTGAAGTTGGGGAGATTGTAGTATTTCTCATTTTTCCATTTTCAGGGTTTTATTAGATTTTTTTTTCGAAATTATTTCGTTTCGCCTCGTTTTGCATATCGGACACTGTGGGGTGTGTCGAATGGGTTTCAAGAGTCGGTTGAGGTATTTTTTTTCAAGTTCAGGACTCTTAGATATGCATCATTGGCAATTTCGGCATTTTTTTTTTATTTTTCGGGCCGGGATGTCCCGGGCAGGACCCGCAACCGGTTTTGTCATGCACAGGGATTATTATTCAAGGCCATTGCATTTCATACATATTTATTTGGTGCTTATTTATGTGGTTATGTGGTTAGAAATGTGTGGTTGTAATGTGATTAGTTTATATATATATATATATATATATATATATATATAACAAAAATGATATTCCCGTGGGACCCACCAATGGTTATAGTCATTACTAATGACTTTATTACCAGACCATTTTTTTCCTTTCATCTTTCTGCGTATTCTCTCTATCTCTCTGCTACTTTCATTTTTCTTTTCTTTTCAGTCTCCAAGGCTTGATCTACACAATTCCACTTAAAATTTGACTTTGCCACTGAAGGCAAAGTCAACGAGCACAACAAGAGCTTCTTTTTTATTGGTAAATTTTGTTAAAAGGCATGCTCAATTGGTGTGTCTATTTTATAGTAGTTATGGCTATTTGCATAAAACGTGATAATTGTGTTTCATGCGATATATGTGTTGATATACGAATGCTTATATGAATTTTATGAAGAAGCATGCTTAATACTTGATTGTTGTATGCTTTATGTGATTATTTTCATGACTATGAAGTTGAAAAGATGGAAATTGATACGTTGAATTATCTTTCAAATATGTGAGCATGATGTAGATG